AGTATGTTATAGAACGCACCTCTAGATGCTTCTTAAGAGCACAGCACGTAATTATACTAGCATAGATTAAGATAAGCTCTTAGAAGCGTTACTACTTAAGAGAGCTTTCTAAGTAAGCTTATAATATAATAATTTATCTTCTATTTATTTCTATGCTTCTAGACGCAACACTTTATATTAATAATTATACGCCTCTTATACTACTTTCTATTTTAGATATAGCTTATAACTCTAATAGTTCTTTCTACTCTAAATTATATAACGCTAATATTATCTTTATATTTTTTAATAGTATAACTAATATATTTAGTGTAGAAATTAATTAGTTAGAGTTATCTAAACTACTATAGGTATATAAGCCTATTAATAAGAATAGAGTATATAGTCTATATCTACGTTCTAACTATAAGTGTATATAATTCTCTAATACTAATAATAATCTATATAAATAGTATATTAGAAGAAATAGAGATTATAACTACTAGACCTAGTCTAACTATAACTACCTACAGCGTTAGTAGTAGAAGAATACATAATATAAGAAGAAGTAATAGTAACTTAAGGCGTCTTTACTTAAGTAACTAAAGGTATTATCTTACTTTACTAGCGCCTCTACTTCTACTTTACTCTCTAGAAACGCTTTACTTATTACACTTAGCACTTCTACTACTAGTAATAATATTATTATTCTCTCTACCTCTATTTACGTAACTAGTAATAATACTATTATTATTTTCTCTACTTTTATCTATATAACTAGTAATAAGAACGTTATTATTTCTAGTACTATAATATATAGTATAGATATTATAATTCTATTAACTTCTAATTTAGTAGACCTTTCTCTATTTATAGAATAGATACTTAGTTAAACTCTAGAGCTAGACTAGTATAGCGCTACCTAACTAGTTCTATATACTACTTATTTAACTAAAAAGGTAGTCTACTCTTCTAGTAATCTAGGTAGTAAGTATTACTTATATACTAAAACCTACTAACGCTACGTCTCTAGTATAGTAAAGAAATAGTAATATATAATTACTATCTACTACTCTTATACTCTTATAGGTGCACGTTTTAAATATATTTACTAGTTACTAGACGCTCTCTATAATATTTATATCTTTACTTATAGCTAACTTAACTATATTCTAGTTATTTCTATTACTATTCTAACACTTTCTTACAAGAACTAGTATATTATATACTAGAAGTTTTAATACTTTTATAAAAAGGTAAATAGTAGCTTATCTATAGTTTAGTGTAATAGCGCTTACCTATATAATATATATATTAACTACTACTAAGCGTACGTCTATACTAAGAATAAGAATAATCTACTTTATATAGCGTGCGTGTATAAGAGTAGAAAGTATAACTTTACTATACTTTATAAAAGATGTATAAAGAACGCTTCTATTAGCGTATTTCTAAATAAATATACTAATCTATACACTTATTTTAGTAATAATAATATAATATAGATAGCTAAATACTTTAATAGTAACTTAGATATAATTTCTATAAATATTTATTCTCTATATAGCTACACTAAGTAGAACTATAGTAGTTTTTAGAGTTAATACCTTTATACGTAGTGTCTTCTAGTAAATACGTAGAAATACTTCTAACGTAAGATTTACTATATATAAACTAGCTCTACTACCTATATTATAAAGAAACTTACTATATACTTAATTAATAAAGATAATATAAATCTTATTATAATCTATAATCTAGAGTATAAGAGCTTCTACCTATTTAGAAAAACTTAATTATAGGTCTCTAATAAGTTTAATAAAGGCTTACGTAATAAGAATATATATAATCTTAATAGCTTTATAATATCTTCTTTATACCTACTCTAAGACTACTCTAATATCTATATTAAAGAGCGCTCTAATAATAACTATACTTATACTATTCTCTAGTATAAAGACTTACTATTAGATAATAACCTATCTACGCTATATACTTTTATCTCTATACTTATTCTATAAGAGCTATATTTCTATAAGAAAGCTATAGCTATACTCTAAGTAAAGAATTAGTATAAGACTACTAATACTAAGCTAGATTCTCTTCTTACTAAGAATATCTATAAGATTATTCTACTACTTTATAGCACTAAGACTATCTTATTTAAATTTATTTATAAGGCTAAACTTACTTTTACTAGTAATATTATAAAGTTTAAAGCTTATATAGTTATCTAAAGTTTCTAATAGTAGTCTAGTATTAATTATAATAAGAAGTTCTTTCTAATAGCTAAGTTTATATTTATTTAGATATTACTTACTCTATATACGCTTCTTAAGTAAAAGATATTATAAGTAGATATTTATATAGCATTTCTAAATACTAAGCTTAAGAAGTAAGTATACTATATACTACTTTCTTCTATAGTACTTTCTAAGAGATATATATAGTTACTAAGAAAGTTCTTATATAGACTTGTTTAGTCTCTTTAGACGTAGTATTAGATACTTACTAAGAAGCTAATAGATATTAGTTTTTAGACTTTACTCTATAATTCTTACGTCTATATACATATTATAGACATAATTATTATTTTTATATATATTAATAATATCTATATCTATACTCTATATAATAATATTATTAATCTATTTAAGGCCTAACTTACTATAGCATTTATTATTACTTTTAAGAATTCTAACGTGCTATACTTAGAAATATATATTAAGTATACTTATAGTACTATAAAGATTTACTAAGTAGAGTATATCTATTATATACTAGATTAGTATAACCTTAGTAATCTTTTTATTACTAATACTTCTTATAACTATTAGTTAAAGCTTATATATACTTCTAATAGTAATAGAGATATAGCTCTATTATTTAAGAAGTATTACCTCTAGATATTTAGTTTACTTAACTATATATCTACTATAACTTATATTAACTTTATCTATACTACTTCTCTCTATAGACGTTATAACGTAAACTCTTTCTAAAAGTATCTTAATAGTATTACTTACGCCTACTTCTATATTAAGAGAATATAAGATATTAGTATAATATATTCTAGATAGAAACTACGCTTTATTAGATATATAAATATAGACTAAGTAGAATATAAGAACTTACGTTACTTTACTACTAGCTATATATTTACGCTAGCTAATAGCTTTATTTTCTAGACTTCTACTAAATAAAAAGTTATTACGTAATTTACTTATAAAGCTAAATATATTACTTTAGATAAAGCTATTAAGAAAGCTATCTAGCTTAAAGGCTTTATTAATAACCTAGGCTTTAGTATTTACTTCTCTACTATTCTAATTTATATTAATAATTAGTTTATAATTAAGCTTTCTAAAAATTCTAAGTTTTACTACTATAGTAAATATATTAATATACGCTACTACTTTCTCTAAAACTATATCTAGAATAGTACTATATTAATTAAGTAGATTAGTAGTAAAAATAATTCTACTAATATACTTATAAAGCTACTTAATATAATAAAGTTTAAGACTATTTACTAGACTCTTAGCCTTATTCTATAGTATTCTATCTAGCTTACTCTTAGTACGTTTACGTATTTACTATAGGCCTATATATCTAATAAGAGTAGAAATATTACTTTATAGACTATTTTTCTCTAAAACTTTTATAAGAATACTAACTATATAGACGCTCTTACCTATATATAACTACTTCTACTCTATATATCTAATATTAATAAGAATATTACGTTATAGTGTTACTTTCTCTAGAACTTATATAAAAACGCTAACTATATAGAAGCTTTTACCTCTAAGTAGCTTACTATTAACTCTAGTATAACTCTAGAGTGTAAGAAGGCGTAGAATAAATATGCAAACTTCTATTTATACTAGATATACTAAGAAAAGCTTAAAGATTATAAGAAAAAGAAGCTTATTACTTTATTTAGTAGTATCTAGACTAACCTACATTTTAAGCGTACTACGTTACGCAAAGGCAAAGATAGCTATATATAGTAGCTCTGCTATAGTAAGTAGCTAAGTAATACTTATAACTCTAACGTAGACTACTCTTACTATAGTATAATACTTTAAGGTAGTTCTATTCTTAGTAACTAGTTTTTTCTTTTTTATTTCTCTTTTATTTTTTATGTATTTACTTTATAATAGGTTCTAGAGAAGCTATTAGTTAAAATTCTATTACGTAATTTACTTACGCTAGCACTAGCGTTGCTCTAGTATTATTTATATAGGGCTTCCTCTCTCTTCTATAGAATAATTACATCTCTTCTTGTTCTACACTCTAGGTCGACCGTAAAAGCTAGAAGTAAGATTTAGAACAATACAACCTTATCTTCTTTCTCTGCACAACAACGCGACACACAAAAAATCTAAAAAAATTAATATATAGAGTCAGCTACTGCGAATAATTCTATCTTTTTAGAATTCTCTTAAAAGATGTTGTTGTAGAGTTATTAGGGTTGCCTACCTTCTCGCTATTTCCGGCTTTCACGGTTGACGTAGAGACGGCATCTCGGCAGATACATACCTCTCGACTATCTAGCGCTACCTTCCCTAGGGCTCGGTGTCCACGTTTGTTGCCTCTACCATAGCTTAGTTGTAAAAAAAAAACGATTCCTCTCTAATACTACGATTGCGCTTTTCTCCATGGAATCCAACCCCGCCTCGAACCATCCTGCGCATGCCAACCGGTCTTTGGGGCGTCTACCCACTCTGCTGCATCTCTGCCCCCAACAACCTCAATACCCCAACGCACCTCTCCGTTTCTGTCTTTGAACCACCCTAGCATGGTTTTGACGTCATTCGCGTTCTTTAGTGCTACACCTCGTTCTTCTACCAATCGCGAAAGATGATCGCTCCCTGCGACAAGTACAAGTACGTCGGCGATGAGTTGCACGTCTCGAAGCAAGGGACTCGTGCATCTTCTCTGTAGAGAACTGACTACGGCTGTAGTGCCTATGAGCCAGATGATTATTGCCACCGACAGATACGTAGCGATTGCATTCATATGAAGAACCTGGGTTCGGTGGGATACCAGTGCCTCAACTGTTCGATTGGTGTGGAGACTTGCGTACTTGCGTCGCGGAAGAACCCTGCCATCCAATGTCACTGGCTCTCCTAACGCATGTGTACTGTTGTCGCCGATCTTTTGGTACCCCCAACCGCCTTGCTCTAGAGATAGACCATTGCTGATGAAGTGCTGGAAGAAAGTTTGGAAGGTATGGTTTGCGTGTGTGACAAGTGTTGCGTAGTCGAGCAAAGCCTGCGGATCCTTGTTGGCGAGGCTATACATGCTGTATGTCATCAGGTCCATGTTCATGCCGGTTTCAGCGTCGCGTATGATGAAGGCATTGTCGCGAAGAGATTCCATGAATAATGTCCCTTCTGGCCCAAGATTCGGGTCAGCGGCCTTGAACATGGATCCCATGAATAAGACCCCATAACTCGTGGTGACGTTCAACGGTCCTCGGTATTTTTTGTCGTATTGCTGCGTTGCGTTGCCATGGGTCGGCGCGTGTCGGACAAACACTTCGGACCATGCTGATTTTGCAGGGCCGACAGGGCTGATGATCTCATAGGATTGGACCATGCCCGTTTCCACGTCCACGACCACTTTGGCATCTGACGTCTCCACTATCGGCATGCAACGAGCGGCTTGTAAATCGGGTACATCTTTGAAAAGCAGCATTGGTCCTTGGTTCTCGTCTCTGCCTGGTACTGTTACAGGCTTACCAACGATCCATTTCGTAACAAATGGAACCGGCCACTGACTGTCTGCGTTTGGAAACTCTTCGACATTTACTGGGGACCAGTATCCTATCACTGCTGAGTCCGGATCGTCTTTGGTTCCGTTTGAGCAACACGACAGCATAGCGCTGGTGCCAAATGCTGAAGTGTTTGACGGGCTGCCGCCAAACATCGTATGATTGAAGGAATAGTAATTTTCCAGGCCCTCCAGATCCGTCGGTGTGACCTGGGAATCAATTTCATCGGGATGAATGAGCCATGTCGATGTGTTCGCTACTTCGGGTACTTGCTCGCATTCTAGCCGAGCTCGTAGAGCAGATGTTGTGATTGTTACGTTATTCGGAAACGTTATCGTTTCTTTGGCATCCACTTGGGAAATACTGGTAAGATTGAAGGGTATGAAACTCCAACCATCTTGAGTCCAAGAAGGCTTAGTGCCATTGAGTGATAGCTGAATGGCAGCGCCGGGAAGCCAATTTTTAGGCGGATTCAGCAGAAGATCGTTGAGTACTTCAAATGGAGGCAGACCCGGAATAGCTGCACCCATTCGTTGTTCGTAGGTCTTCACCGTAGTTATAATGGGTATCTCTCGAGGTTCCAGCGTCCTCTCGATAATCGCTCGATGAGATACGTTCACAGCTTGTCGTTCGAAGAGCGCTGACATCGAAACGGTGACTGGCAAATTGAAGTCAGCAAGCTAGAAGACCATCGATCATGAAATTCTTACGAATTTGGCAGAGAACGCTTCCAGTAGCGACTAGGAACAGCATCCAATGCTTGTTGCGGGCGGCTTTGATAGCCGCACCAGCCCAGGTTTTGGAACGGTACGTAAGACCCGCTCCATTGGTGATGGGTGTTGGCCGTTGCGACATCGCAAAATAGGGTTGGAGGATTCTGAATGTCGAATCCAATTGATCCCACCACAAGCCGATCACAATACTGACAACTGTGGGTGCGATAGATATAGGAGCAAAAGTGGAGAAGCTCAAGCCCAACTTAGAAACATCGGCTTCGTAAACGAATGCAAGCTGAGAAAGTCGAGATCTCGCAGAGAAAGCGTTCAGTACTAACACCGCAACCAGGATCAGGATAAGAAAGCTTGAAAGAGCAAACAGCATACGAAGTCGGATGACCAACGGCTGCCAAAAGCTTGAAGACTTAGTGGTTGTGGGAGCTATTGAAGACATTTATCAGCTCACGGCTTCGATTACATGGCATTGCTGACTTACATGTGCTTGCGAGGCAATCACTGCTTGCAGTATGTATAGCACCATCCCGCATGTAAAATGTGTCGTTCCTTATTCTTTGGCGGAAATCGTGATGCGCTATACGATGACCTTCTCGAAATGTTGATGATTGTGTCGGATGCGATTGAACTAACATAGCATGTCCAAGGGTACTGCCGGGGTCCATGCTGAGGTCGAGCGGCCGAAATGATAGTCGTGAGACCCAAAATACCATGATGAGTAGCAAGAAGGAGACCAAGAAGAGGGTAGCCAAAGCGATTCCGATCTCTTGGAGTACCATGATTCTATTTTCGACCACTGTTGCCTTCCCTTTTGTAACTTCGACGCGTGTTACGTCGGGGTCGTTCAAGGCCTCGCGAAGACACTCCGTGAAGAATCTTCCTTTGACTCTTTCTGCGCGGGAAACAAACTCCCTGTCGTTCAACATTTCGGTAACGTTGAATGAATAGAGAGCGCCAAGCAGCGGACCAAGCCCAAAGAACTCTGGAGCGTTGGTCGTCATGTTCGGATCGGAGTAAGGGCCAAGCTGGCCGCCCAGAGCACGGTCCGCATCAGTCGCTATGCTTTCGGCGTTAAAATAGTATTTCCAAGTGTCTTGTAGTGCCATCTCTTCAAATTTAGGGATGTCTATCATATCTTTCGTGATTGACACGGGCTGAATATGGTCCGACTCCATGGACGTAATGTTCGGCTCTTTGCCTTGGCCTATTGAAGTAGAAGTGTTGTGTGTTTCCATAGAATACTGAGATTTGCAAAGCAATGCCTTCATGCGAAAGTCAGGCGAGCGTTCATAGGTCCTGTTGAGCTCAAGTCCTGTCCCTGCCGCTTCACTCAGCTCCAACCTGACGGGCTTGGTCCACGGGGTGTTGAGAATGATGATATCCCGGTCTGCACATTCTGGAGAGGCATAGTGGCGCGCATACGGACTGGTCGAGGAGACGTTACTGGGAAACGGCATTCTACCGAGGGGCAGCAGCTCATCCTCAATGTAGAAAGTAGAAGTGTTTGACCATGTCAAGCCTCCACGCATTGCCAGATTAACCGCAGGGTGAACGGTTATTTCGTGTCTGCAACCGTCGTCCGATGCTAAAGCAAAGACTACCATGGGTTCTACGCCCTTGTATGGCCCGTGTCCCATGATATCGTACTCTTTGTATTCCATCGGCACAAGATCAGCGCTTTCTAGCGTCATGTCCCGACAACCTAGGTTCGCATGTATTGTCGTTGTCTCTGCCGTCCAGGAGTTGAAGCTTGATACCAGATCGGGGCCGAGTTGTGCTGTATCTGTAGACGGCCAATTCGGAAAGGTGATAGAAGTATCTTTTATCCATGCTGAAGTAGAGAGATTCCTCATCAGCGCAGACGTAGTTCTGAAATAGGTTTCTCTACTGGCGACAATGGGCAGTTGGAGACCAATCCTAGGAACGCTTCTGCTGATGTCAAGCGCTTTGGTGATTACAATCTCTTCGGATGTAAGAAGGGCGGATGACAAAGGAGATATAGCGAGAAGGGCCACCACATTGATTACAGCCGTGCAGATGAGACACCAACTGGTTTTACCGACCGACTTGCGCTTGAGGACGATATCCAGTAAGATAGCCCACCAGGCCCTGGGCGTTTGGAGTAATGTACCGTAGGCACTGGCGCCTTCTGAAGGTGCTCGAGCTAATCGAGCGAACGGCTCCGTTCTCTTGGCATCTTCAAATAGGATAACCGTGGATTGTGTGTACAGCACTGCTAGCAGAGTTGGTGTGAAGCGCCATCCAAACAGTACTGCAGAAGATCCGTCATCGGCACCGAGTCCGTAGTGGTGTTGCGAGTACCAAATAAGTAGCGATATTGTTATGCCCAGGATGGCGGTGGCACTTATCGGGATCAATAGAGAATACCATCTAAAGGTAAATGGCAGCCAGCTCCCTTTCCGATCCGTTGGAGCTTGTGCTGGCAAGTTTGTTAGCCGCCTAGATCTTCAGAGGTAATTGATTACTAACCTGTGCCCAAAGTCATGGTATCTGTCGTAGACTGAGCAGACGAGTCCGCTTGGACTGAAGGCACATGACCTCCTAATGTTCGATCCATAACGACAGATGCTCCAAGTGCGCTCAAGCGGGGTTGGCCCAAAAGAAAACTCACAGCGACTTGGTGGCTGTATCCAAGGTTATCGCACAGAGAAGCGCATACATAGAGGCTACTTAAGCCATCTTCGTCTGCTGTTCAAGCTGTACCTGCATCGATCGTCCGCACAGATAGATTGCGGCACAGCACTGCTGATGCCACTTTCATACTTGATCCGGTACCGACATAGCGGATGCACGGAGTTCTTGAGGCTATCGTGCAATAACATAGTTGGCTAAGCGCCCGGGTGGACATTGGGATTGTTGCAGCGGTTCGCGCCAACACTTCAGCGTTAAGCACGCGCCGCGATGGAGGGATCTTCCGTAAAACCTTCGAATGGGCGGCAGGATCTGGGATCCCCGTTGCGCATGACAGAGAACCAGTCGAAACGCCAGGTAAAAGAATGCAGGTAGACGCGCGATTGTCATATGAAGTGAAAGCCTGCCCCGAACCTTCCGTCGCGTCTTCCGTTCCCCTCACGGGTGGGAGCTCCCGTTCTTCACGTGGGGGCTAACTAACTGTATCGGGAGTAGCGTCGCGATTGTGATAGGGATAAAATCGATCCAATCATACGTGATTAATCTGAAGGCGCTGTAGCATGAAACAATTACCCCGTTTATCTTGTCTACATGTGCGAAAAAAAATTAAGTTCTGGTGTTGAAGCCAGACACATTGTAGCTGGAGGTTTGGCCACCTGGACAAGATCCAATGCCTACTACCTAGGTAAGCTAGACTTTCGCTAAAGCCGAGAGGGAGAAGGACGCGATGTAGACAAGCGTGTTGTATATCTGATATAATGAAGTCTCAATAGATGGGATGAGCAGTGTCTGTTTAGGCAGGCATGCCTAAGTACCTTCCAAAGTTCTCTCTTCCAGGGATGTGAGCAAGAGTTATAGTCCAAGAACATTCGTAGAGGCGCATCTTCAAGATGGAAAAGACCGATGTCGTTTCATTCAGTCCAATTTCTAGCCGGCTGTCGAAGGTGTTTTTATATCTCAAGAGTTACTGTTCAAGGTGCACCGCGTGCGACTACCTGTCGACACAAATACCTCGGTACCCCTGCCTTTCCCCTACCCCGTTGTCTACGCCAGGCCGCTGCCGCCCGTCACTTACATGCGTAGCGAGATTCTAGCAACTTACGACTCCGAAGAACATCGGTCCGCAACGCGTCGTCTATCTTCGCCTACCCCTCTTATACGCTACTCCCAATGCAGCGCCATCAAGCGAGTCTGCACGCGAGTGATTGGTGGGTGCCTTTCTACAGTCTACCATTAGACGTTATCAGAAACAGGGGTGAGCGAGAAGGAGCATTCGGGCATGTGGTGGGCTCAGGCGCCCTCGCAAGGGTAGCCGATTCATAGCATCCACGGATGTGCAGAACCTTAGGTACGTAGGTACTTGGATACGTGGCTAACGTGTCGACAAAGACAAATCAACGTAGAGGGCGGAACATCAGCCATGTCCGCTTCGAAATTTGTGGGTTTGATGTGCGAATGGTATATTCCTCGTGTATCCATGTGTCTTCAAGATTGGGCGACTTACAGCGCCAGGATGTTGCTTCGGATTGCAACGTTCGCTTACCCTGGTTGCTGCACATTCGCATCATTTGCCAAAGTGTTCGATGAAGTCAAGACGGTATTTGCATCCGCTTTCTTTCAAATTTCTATCACTCGTTTTGGCCACCAGCTTCTTTGACGACTGAAAATACATGTACTCAACTACTTGGACGACAGTGTCCTGAAGATTGCAAAACGGGAGAGGGGAATATCAGATAATGTAAGCTTACACCATGCTCGACTCTATGCCGTGGAACTCAGTTTTGCGCGCCCATTCGCATCCGATCTAAGCGGTACAGCAACATCGTTACACCGCCCGCTACACTTAGCCGCACGCAATTAACCGATGGTCATGCGTGAACAGCGAGCGTTTTTCTCACTATACTCAATGTTTCATAGTATAGAACCCGAACGCCGAACGCCGAACGCCTTGAATTCCAACACTTGAGACCCAAAAACACGATACCCTTCCGCTCGGAACTTCATTCTTATAGCACAATGTGTTGCTCGGCACTCGATTCGCTTGTAGCAAGGCGCTACGAGAGCTCGCTCGTAGGATTTAGCTGCCTCGCTAGTACGATTCAGATAGCTGCGAGGTCGTTGAGTGCACAGCTCAGCTCTCGTCTCGCACCGAGCTCATCAATGCCGTCATGCGGCCGGTAATGGTGTGCGACGATCCGCACCGTGGCCCGGTAAGTCTTGTACCTATTACGGTCAGCATTGCGGCCTTCTAATTACCCGCACTTGGTACTTACATCAGCATCCTGACCCTCGCGCCCCCAGTCTTCACAGGGTAATCTCCCAAGCCGGCGAAGAACGCTTCATTGCCATCCGCGATACCGCCGCTCATGAGAGGGTCGCCCCAGATGACGTTCGAAAATCCGACAAGACCTATGACCTGCTTGGTACGTTCGTCGATGAGCACGTTCTCCGGGTCGCAGAGATTGAGCGCTACAAGGCGCGGTTCGGTAACTTCTTCCAGGCAGTGTGCGTGTTTGCCAACCCAGAAACGTATACTTTCGGAGTGTGCGTTAACAAGCATATCCTCAGCATCGCGTAGTGCGGCTTCGAGGAGGGCAAAGAAAGCCTCGCGCCAGGAGTTGCTGCCCTTTTTGACGAAGACACGGTGTGTCATACCAAATTGGGTGGCAGATAGTGCAGTCAGAGCGCGGACATGTGTGCCTAGTGTGTGGTCGATGGAGTTTCTCTCGCTGGTCGAGATGTATGGCGCGATTTCCGAGAGCTTGCGACCAGGCATGTGGCTCATCATAAGAAATGGTGCACCAAGCGGTCCACCATGGCTATCATATTTGATGATTTGGGGCACAGGTACTTGTGTATACTCGTGCAGTGTCTCGAGTGCTTTGCGTTCTGTCTCCAGGAAGTGCTTCTCATGCCGGAGGAGTCGGATGTTATAAGCTGGTGGGCATTTGAGTATCAAACAGCTGCCATCTTGAAGTCTTGCGAGATAAACCTGGTGTATGCACCCTTGCTGGACTTCAATTTGCTGAACATTGATTCTTGAGGACCGAAAGACTGCTCTGATGACTCTTTGTATGCTGGGAAAGTCGACTGTTGTGATAGCAGTCCGCGAAGATGCTGATGAAGACGAAGATGAAGACGAAGTGGTCGAAGAGGGCCGAACGGGCTTTAGAGCGTACGTTCCACGGCTCATACTGGTGAGGGGAAAGATTGCAACATCCAGTGGGGGAAGATGCATTATGAAGGGCCGAGCAGCGACGTCCTAGATTGAGGGGGCGGGGGGCTTAGCGTGATTCGATAGTGGAGGCCTGGAGCTGACTGAATGCTGCATGTCGAGGACATCGCTATGCATTAAGAATGTTTTGACGATTGCGCAAACAAAGTCAATGCCAGCTCTTTTCTCATAGAATCATGGATGCTCGATCTGAACGCAAAAATGTCCCGACGAATGTCGGAAACAAAAGCATAGTAACGCCAGCCCGAGCAAGACCGACTCTGATAGATCTCAATTGATGAAGCCATCTCCTTGGTTCGGCCATACCGAATCGCATGACAGTCGACACTTAGTAGCACATCTGAAAGTCCCAACCAGTCCCCGAGCCATATCGACTATCCTCTCGCCGATGCACTGCTCAGCCGAAAAGCAAAAGTCTATCATGCGCGTACGGAACTGGTAAGTAAGCGGCGTATTCTAAGCGAATTGTTTAGCGAAGGCGGATGTAGAGGCGGAGAAGGACGCGTGAGGCGTTCAGATTGGCGCTCTCAGCGTTCGTCAAGGATACCCACAAGTGGCTAGGCACCCGATGAGGATATCGCGCATCGCGAATTATGATTGGTTCTGCCGAGAGACGGCTGAAGGATACCATTGACCGACATCTTTCGATAGCATATCCTTAGGAATCTGAGAGACGATTGGGTGTAGGTTTGACAGTGCAAAAAATAACGCTGTGATTAACGCAGTGTCATGTCTGTACGGGCCCTCAAC